TAAGATTCCATCATTTTATAGGGAAAATAAAAAAATAATTTAAAAAAAACTCGGTACTATATTTCCGAATTTTGGAAAAATTCAGATTCGCGTCCCTCGCGATTTAATTAAAGTATTATAAAATATAGATAAAATGGGGTGCCCCCTAAATCTACATAATTTATATACTACTTTGGGCAAGTCTTTGAAATACCATTATTTCAAAAAATGATTATTTATTGTGAAAGTATATTGTGTATTAAACACAATTCGTTTGTTTTTATGATAATAATTATTAAGCTATTTTTGGGTTATATGTCTGAGTGTTGATAATTAGAGTATTAAATAACTATAATTGTTAATTAAAATATTATTAAAATTATAAAAAAATGGTTTGAAAAAACTGAAAATTTTAATAACCTTATGTGTACTAACTCTTATCAGTAAACAATGCTGTCACTGATACATTAACTAAACACGAAGTCGTAATCAATAAAATGCAATGTTAGTTCTGTTTTGTATTAATTATATCATTAATAAACAAACGTAATTTACTATTTTGTCAATTTGATTTGTTTGGTTTAAACAATAGCTTTATTTTACTATAACATGGTTTATTGAAATAAACCAAAAAATCCAAATTTGCAATATTACACTGAATTGAAAAAGAAAATTGACAGGTGACATTTTGAACTCATTTTTAACCTTGATGAGGTCGGATTTGGTTAATGAGTCGATTCTCCATTCTAAAATATTCTATGCAGAAATTTCTAGAGGACAAGATGTGTTTAATGAAGTTGAAAGAGAAAGTTCCAGAACAAGTCTTTTGTGTTGTGGATGCCTTGATGGAACCAAAATAATTCCACTTGTGGTAACAAAAAGACTTTCTCTGGAAGATGTTGCTATTATATCCCTTAAAAGTCGGGCTTTAATAAGGACACAAAAATCGGGTGTTTTGAATACTAAATTATCCACCCTCTGGTTAAAAAGTGTTCTTCCCGACAATTAAGGCAAAAAGAGAACAAATGGGTGTGCGTGCCGATATGAAAGTCTTCCTGATACTTGATGGGGTTTCAGGCTATTTTTCCAATGAAATCCAAAATCTGTTTTTGTAAAATCAACTTGAAATGATAAAGGAGGTCCCCCACAGTTCCCATTTATGTCAACCAATGGACTTGGGAATATTCGGGAACCAAAAGAAATTTTTGGCTGACAAAAACAATTATGTTTGCCACAAATTCACTTTATTAAAAAAAGAAGGTAAAAATATTGAAAAAAGTAGGAAAATATCAAATAAATTCCCCAAAGTTTAAAAAAGCAATGAAAAAATATATTAACATGTCTGAAGAGGAAAAAAATAGAGAGTTGATCTATTCCTGGGAGTGTGTGGCAAATGGAGACAATGTCACGAGCTCTTTTAAAAAAGCAGGAATATCATTTGTGCCACACACTTCCAGCGAAAGCGAGCTCCAGGAAATATGAAAGAAGTCGCCAAATTACAATATTTGAGATTATATCACTGGGGTGGTAAAGGTGGATATCAGTAGCGCAAGAAAGGTCTGCAAATTCTTGGGTATTGCTGCAGAATTTTAAGTTGTTGGAGCGACCAGAGTTGCTTTCGAAAATTATGAAGACAGAAAAAACCGTTTTCAACAAGAGAAACTCACCAACATTAGGAAGCAAATTCAAGCCAAAAAGCCTAGAAAACCCGAAAAATAACTGCGGTTTTAAATCTTATTTTTTGTCTCAAACCTATTACTATAATTAAATAAAGTATTTGTTATGTGTTTATTATATTAATATAATTTAAAATAGTAATATTTTAATATGAGTATTATATATTAAAACACTCAACAAAAACGACAATGTAAAAATAAATTTGATACATTATAAAATAAATAGTATAAAAAATAATATTTTAATTATAAAGGTTTGATTTACAACAAAAATGGGTATAAAAAACCCGAAAACCCTAAAAATAACTATGTTTCTAATTCTTATTTTTTTACAAACATTTTACTATAATTATATATAATTTTAATCTGTAATCAATATCGATATAATAGTGTTATAGTAAAATATAATTTGTGTATTAGATAATA